TATGAAAAATAAACTTACAAAACTGAGAACGAAGAACAATACAATTCAAACTCTAAAGAAAAATTCTAAGTACTACTCAAGAACAAGGGACCAAGGTCCTCAAACTCAGAAATTCAAGAATGCTAAGTAATACTCTAATCATGTCCAAAGTGACCCATGACCTCCCACCAAGCAGTGTTTTCTGAGGCCCAAGTTCCCTCTTCTAGGTGGGATGCCCTGCACCACGTTTCCTTTGCAGGATGTCATGTTTGGCCTCATTTCCCTCACCTAGATGAGATGTCATGCACAATGTTATGGGTACCCAAAGATTTGCAGGATCTCATGTTCATGTATGCACCAATCACGTGACCTTTATGGTTTATCATGAGGAGTAGTCTAGGGCCACGATGGAACAAGAAGAGAGTAAGTTACCTTAGCCAAGAATTAAGAACAACCTAAGACTTCCCATGGTATAGCATGCTCATGACTTAGACTACGCTGCTTGGAACGCATGAAGCCTTAAGCATAGGTATTTAGCCTATGTGATAGGGCAAGCCCTAGATGCAGGATTAGACTACATCACTTGGAAAGTAAGAAGCCTTGAATGTAGGTTTTCATACTATGCCGTTTGGAACACATGAAGCCTTGGGCATAAGTTATCAAACCGTATCAAAGGGAAAGCCTTAAGATAGGGTTCAGACTACGTTGCTTCGAACACATGAAGTCTTGGATGTAGGTTAAGATTGTATCACTTGGAATGCATGAAGCCTTGGACACAGGATTGATAGGTGCATGGCTAGTACCATAAATCCTAGGGGAAGTGTCTTGGGGAAAGAACCAAGAATGGAACAAGAACCCAGAAAATACCAAGAACAAGACAAACATCAAGGACTAGAACATGGACCAAGATCCAAGTTCTAAGGACAAGAACCAAGAACAAAGAACCAAGAACCAAGAACCATAGTACTAAGGCCCTTAGATCAGAACCAAGGTCCTCAAGATAGATCATGATAAGAACCCTAAGTCAAGAACAAGAACTAGAGAGCCTAATTACTTACAACAAGAACAAAAACAAGACAAGATAGAGTGGTACCCTAGCATATCAAGGACACAATTAAGAGTCGACAGTAGGCTACTTACTGAATTTTGTACTCATTCCTTATTCTCCATTTTTTTTAAGGTAATAAAGAGTTGGTTGAGGATGGGAGCGGACTCTGGAGCAAGTGTCATAGACTAACCTCACTCGTCATCCTAATCCTTTTGCTTTAAAATATTTTGTGTTTGTTCCTTATTTTTTGTTTTAAATACGTATGTATGAACCTTATTTTGATATAATGTATATTATGTTTTAAATTCCTTTATTTTATTTCGCGAAAAAATTTACCCATCTTTTTGGAGTCATCGAGTCAACCCAATCTTACAGTAAATGCTATAGAATAGGCCATTGGTGGAAGCATCCACTACTTGTGTATTAGTAATGTTTAGTCAACGGTAGAAAGTCTCCATTTGAATGCAATGGAGTAGTCCATGTGAGGACATTTTCTAATCATCTTCTTGAATCTCTCCCAACCCTTACTTAGTGTCTCAACTTCAAACGGATGAAAAGCAACTACTTAATTTCTAAACCGTGCATTTCTAGTGGATGAGAAGTACTTGATAAAAAAAATTCTCTCCTAAACTATTACAAGAGTCAATTGCTCGTGGGGCTAAGATGTAGCTGGCATCCCTCCAAGAATAAGGGAATAAGCAAAATCTGATTACATCCTTATCCACTAACCATAACATTTATAAAATTCAAGCACTACTATACTTAATCTTTAAAAAAAAATGTTTAGAAAAGTTCTTACCGTTAGTATACGAGTGGAAATCAAAAGATCATATTTTTCTTCAAAGTCAACCTATTGGTCAACAATTTCTTATTTCTTTTATCTTCTTTTTCGTTTGCATTTCCAATACTTTCTTCCTCTCTAAAATTTGTTCTTAAATGTCATTATTTTAAATAAAAAGGGAAAGTTCTCTCACTCCAATTCCGATCATTTTCAAATATAAATACTTTAAAAATTTTATATATTTAGAAGAGAATAAGAAAATTTAATAATATATAATAATAATTTTTTATAATATAAGAAGAAGGAGGAGAGATCTACGAAGATAAAAAGTTTTAAAATATTAATATTTCAAATATGGTATTATTATTAATTTATATATATATTTTTTAAAAAAAATATGTTTTATAATCAAAATTTGGAAATAATATTTTTGAGTTTTATTATAATTATTTAGTCCCCTCTTAGTATTTTTGTTAATACAAATTCCAATACGGAAAGGTAAAGCAAAAGATTCTTTCGTAAAAAGTCTCGCCCATTAATTCATGCTTTTTTAATTCCACTCACTTCTTCTCTTTTTTTTCTTTTCTCACAATTTTATTCAAAATATAATACAATTATTATAATATTTATCAATCTACACAAATATTTCTTCTATATTTTTTTAACCTTCAATACTAGGGTACTACTTCTATTTTAAGTTAAGACAAGACCGACTGATGACGACATTGCAACTCAAGACCACGACACATGCATAGGGTAGTCGTATTTATTTTCTTAGATTTAGGCTAGAATATGATGTTTTTAATTTAAACGTTTATTTATTTTATTTAGTCTTTTTTAAAAGTGTTTTCAAAAGATGTAAGTCCATAAATGTATTTTAATTTATGAAAGTTTAAATGAAGTATTTTTGTCTTTAATGTTCATGATATATACAGAGTAACGACTTTAAATTAAGTAGAAAATTTCGAGTTATTACGTACCGCCGTCAACCTCACGATTTTAAAATGCGTTCATTAGATAGAGATTTTCACAGTTTTATAAACAAGGTATGAGAAGGGAGATTTCACACCTATATTAACCCATAAATTTGGCAAAGAGTATATAGGGCGTAGGGAGGGGCATATGGAGTAAAAATGTCGGAGTTTTGATTCCTTTTGTGTGTAACATTTTTGTGGGTGTTTTAGTCTTTTATGGAATATTGTGTGTGGGTCCCCTGGAAGCGGTGCCTTCCGTATGAGACTGCTCTCGCCCCTACCTAAGGAACCCAACCCCCTTTTTATTTTATTTTATTTTATTTTATTTATTTATTTATTTGCCGTTTTAGCGTCCGTATAAAGCCTGCAAAATTAACCTTTTGTCATCATAATTGCTCAACCTCTTTTGTCTCCCTCCTTTTCTTCATGCAATATCCCTTTTTTCTTTTCATATATATATATATATATATATATATTACAAATTTCGAATATGGTAACCCTATGTTTTAATTATTTTAATTAGGTAAAAAAATCTATAATAATCTTAAGAGTAGAGCAGGATAAAGTTGAATCGTAACTTTATTTTCAGGATGGTCAGGTCGACCTAAGTAAAAAATATTATAAACGGACTCAAAAATTTTACCCAATCCAATTTTTATGATTTGGGTTGGATGGGAGAGTTTGGTATTAATGATTGAATGTAATGTGTAAAGTATAATGGATATGAATTGGGAGCATAAATGGAAGAAAAATAGGAAGGAATGGGAATCCATGAGGCAAGAGGGAATTTTGAGGGGAAATAAAAATAAATAAATAAAATAAATGTGAGGAGTCAGAGATAGGTTTGGTGGTGTGTGTGGACCATGAAGCTGATCAGAACAGAGCAGCCTTCACACTTCCCATGCATTCCTCTGCGCTTCGTCTCCCAACCCCCCCCTACTTTTACCAAAATACCCCTACCTACTCAACCTTTCCAATTCCTCCTCCCCTATCCATTTTTATTTCTAATTAAATGTTTAAAATTAAGTAAATAGATATTTTACAAACTAGCATTTTATGGGGTTTCGAATAATGTGTCAGTGAAGAGTCTGAGCCCAGATGAGGGTGGACCTGAGGTAGTGTGCTAGTAAAGTCTCGTTTTAAAATGATGTGAATTATGATGCTGGGCCTTGAATGAGGTAAATTATGAGACCTCACATCAGTTGGAAAAGAGAACGGACATTTTTTTTAGAAGGGTGTGAAAATCTCTTCTTAACCGACAATGAAATTACCAAGTAGGAAGGGATAAATGATTTATAAGATAGATAAATTATTAACGGTAAAAAAAAATTAAAATTAAGGACAATATTATTTTTAGAAATGTTAAAATATTGTGTGGTTAAATTGTCTATTCTTTTGACTTTTTGTGAGATCAACCTTTTTTTCCTTTTAACTCCACTCAGTGTCCTCAGTATTCTCCACATATCTTTTTTTTTTTGAAAAAGAAAAAAAAAAAAAAAAAAAAAAACAAAAGAGTGATGAACAAAGGGTTATGCAAACCCACTCTAAATACAAAGGTGAAATTCTAGAAGAATAAATTCAATTCTTTTCCACAAAGTTTAGTTCGTAGAAATAAAATTCTAACCATTTTTGTTCGTGCGTATTGGGTTAAGTTTAATTAAAACACTTTTTTGGATTCAACTTCGGATATAATTTTTTTCAATATAAACAATACTTATTACATAATTAGCCTAAAAATTATCTGAATTATTCCGTTTAACAAAATCATATAACAACCTAACTCATAGAATTTTTATTCATTATAACTCAGCTTAACCCAAATAAATTTATATCGAATCAAAAGCATACCGTCTGAAAACTTACATCGGATTGGAGGAAGAGAACGAAATATTCTTTATAAGGTTGTGGAAATGTCTCTCTAACATACGTGTTTTAAAATCACGAGGACAGAGACGATTAGGAAACGAGTATATATTTGTTATTTTACAAATTTGGGAATTCAAAATGGTAATTATTGAAAAGAGGAAACGAGTGATAATTCGGTTTTTATTAAATAAATAAAATGAAAAGTTAAGGGTTTGAATATTTCACAAATTAGGAGTCCAATAAACAATCAAACCCCATTCCCAAGCAACGGATATATTTTGGCATTTCTTGTAAGTTGGAAGCCACCACTGGTTTTTCCATTAAGCTTTCTGAAACCCTCACTATATAAACCTTTCTCACCGCCATCAATGGAGGACATGGCCGGGACTGCTAACACTTTCTCTCCATAGTTCCTCATTTTCTCTGTTTTTTTTCTTCTTTTCTTTTCGTTTTCCAGAGAAGAGAATGCTGAACTTCAACAACAACCTTCTCTGTTCCTTCTTCTTCTCCTTCTTCTTCCTTCTGGGTCTTACAAGTAAGCTTCCTTTCACTTCACGTCTTGGGTGTTCTTTCTTCTTCTCATTTACTCTTCTCCCATGGCAGCTGCAGGTCAAGAATCCATTCAATTTCTAAAGCTGTATGACAAGATTTCTTCAGGGGTTTCCCCACCAATCTCTGCCTCTCAGCTCCCGATTGCTGTTTCTGTCACTGATGCTGAGCTTCCAGAGGTCTCATCCAGTGTTTTAATGGCGGAAACTTGGCTCAGAGCCTTCGTTCTGGCTCACTACCCTGCCACTAGTATCACTACCATTGTTGTGGGTAACAGTTCTTTATGCAATCAGGACACCAACCATTTACATTCCGTGTTGCTTTCTTTGAAGAATTTGTTTTATTCTCTCACGAGATGGGGTTTGGAGAATCAAATCAAAGTTTCAACTCTCTTCCCTGAAGATTGCTTCCACTCAAACCCTCACAATATGCTTAATCTTGTGACTGAGTTCATCAAAACTACGAACTCTACATTCACTCTCAAATTACCTCAAAATGTAATTTCTCTTCATGAAACACAGAGCTTCGTCTCCACTCGAATGGCCAAATTTGGGATTCTAAAGCTCAACAAAGTGAATTTAATAACCAGAGTTTCGAAACAGAGGAACCCATTTAGCAGAAAGCTGTTTTCATTCATGGAACTCAACGAATACGAATATTTCTTTACATCAGAGCCCCCATTACCATCAGACCTCGCCACACCCCCGAATCCACCAGAGTCTCAAATCGCATCTCCGCCGCATTGGGGTTTTGCTGCCGCTCCAGAATCGCCGCCGTTCGTGGTTCCAGCGAGTCCACCGTTGAGTTTTGTCCTGCCTCCGTGTAATCCAGACCAAAACGTCGGTGCGCCATTTCCACAAACAGGTGGTGTGCAGAAGCAGTGGTGTGTGGCGAAACCGAGCGTTCCGGCGGAGATTCTGCAACAGGCGATGGATTATGCTTGTGGCCAAGGCGGCGCTGACTGCCGAGAGATATCGGCGGACGGTGACTGCTTTCATCCGGATACCTTGGTGGCACATGCCTCTTATGCGTTTAATAGCTACTGGCAAAAGAACAAGCGAAGTGGAGGAACTTGCAGCTTTGGAGGCACTGCCATGATCATAAGCTCAGACCCAAGTAAGAATTTCTGGGATTATTTCTATTCTGATTTCTCTTTGGTCTCTCGATTGATTCGAATTTTGATGAACTGATTACTGTTGTGTTGTTTGTAGGTTTTCATCACTGCCGGTTTGTTCTCAGCTAAAATTTTTCTGTACCCGTTTTTAGTTTGTTTTTATTATGTTTGTTTTTGTTCATCATGTTTCTTTGAATAATACTTTATAGTTTGAACTTTGAAGTGACTTCAGAGATTGGCCTTCTGGTTTTGGTAGTTCTGTCTCTTTTTTATTCTTTTATTATTATTATAATTTTTTTTTCTTTCTAAAAAGCAATTTAATTAGTTTAAACAATTATTAAGTTAATAGGAAGGTACGAGTTAGAACTGTTTAGCTCGTAGGTTATAGACTTTAGTAACTAGGGTTGGAACCAAATTTTATATTTGATTGTTGAGTTTGTTTATGTGAGATCCCACATTGATTGAGGAGAATATAATATTTTTTTATAAGGGTATGAAAACCACTCACAAGTAGACACCTTTTAAAAACATTAAGGAGAAACTCAAAGATCACAATATCTACGAGTGGTGGGCTTGGACGTGAAAAATGCTTCATATTATCACTTTCATGGGACAAAGTAAAATTAGACGCTATAGTAAATTTCATCCTTTTTATCACAACTACGTTAATCGATAGAACCGAAAGAGGAAACGAGAGAGTGAGGGAGCGAAAAAAAACGAGCAAAGGGAACGAGAGTAAGAAAGAAAAAGGAGGTAAGAGCGAGAGAACACCGAACCGAAAAATTGAAAAAAAGGTAAGAAAATGGACTTTTGGATTGTGCGTTTTTAGGGGACCAAAAGCGGTAGAAGTCACCTCCTCTCACCATCTTCCTAAACATTTTAAATTTAGTGATTATTCTTTTATAGTTGAGATAACTATAACATGAAAAATGTAACGGGATTCTTTTTAAGTGAGCTTTTATGTAAATACTATTCATTTTCAAATGATGAATTGACTGAGGGTCAACTAGTTTTCGAGACCATTCAGCCTCCCCCAAGGCCTAGACAAGTTACGTCATGAGCTAAAAGTTCTACATTGAAAGATGATTAGTGCTTTAAACCAATCAACCCTATTGATATGATATAAAAAATATTCTAACACCAAATAATATGAGAACTCTAGTGAATTGGAATTATGGACTCTTTTAGCATGTAAACTCGTGATTCTAAATCACTAATACTCACAAATCTATTTGAATTCAACCTTAAGAATTAGGTTAGACATGGATTATTCTAATGAAAAATCTCGAGACAATGAACAAGTTCTTTGTCTCGAACAAGATAGATAATCAATCGTACTTCATTTTTTTTTTTTTTTTTTTTGCATGAAAATCAAGATATGAATGGATTGAGTTTGTGACCATTCATATCATTCATTTCCACTTTTGATGATTCGTCTCGAATCCAAATTGATAGTTTGTAAAGTAGTTTTAAAGTCGTGAAATTAAACCGTAATAGTTTTAATGGACTTCTCTTCCGATCTCCCTTGTAAAGAAACTTTATGGTCGTGAGATGTCAACCACTCGTCTCTTCTTGACTTTCATCTGTTTGGCAAAGAATGTTGGTACTTCCAATTCAAAGGTACATGTAGTTCTTGACCATCAATAGATTTGAGGCCAACATTTATCCTTGCAACTTGTTAAAGGCATATTCTTGTTTTTCTTATCTCATTTTGTTCTCTATATAAAGTACCATTACCTTATTTTTCTCTCATCTATATTTGTGCACTTTTTAGTTATGTTTTGTAATGTCCCAATGTCCCTTATTTAAAATCCAAATTCTAGCACCTATGTGCCCTGACATTCTCCTGCGTTCCCTACAACATAGTCACGTGTTTTCATTTCTCATAATAAAGACTATCTCCACATATTAACATGAGTTCTTTCAACATGTTTTGCCCTCACTCACATGCATTCTAGGAAAATTCTCAAGAATTGAAGATCATTTCACATAGAATTGTTTCATGTGAAGCCACGCTCAACTTTGAAGTTCCTATGATTGAGCCACTGAAAATGAAAATGATAAGACAACCCTAATCCTCAGCACAATGATCCAAGCTTTTAGCAAGAACTTTTGAATCAAAAAAATTAACACGTCCGTATTTGGATCAACCGAGAGATAAAGTTAGAATTAGATTACTCTTAAGATCGAAGATCTAGAAGCAAGAATTGAACCTTATTTTAAATTGAGTCATTCCATAATTGAACTTGATCAATGCTTAATTGAATGATTCAGATGCAATCTACCACAAGAATTGCATGAAACTTAGAAATGACAAAGATGATGCTCAGATTTCTAACCGGAATGTCTAAGTTGATAGATCATTTTCATTCATCACAAATCTCACTTTTACATAATAATTTTAATTGGTGGGTATTTAATCTTATCCCCTTAAATCTCCACAAAAGACTCAAACTAACACCTTTTTATCCATTACAAAATTAAAAACAATAAATAAGTTTTCTAAAAACTCATGTAAGGATGTTTGCAATTTCATCCACTACTCCAACCGTGCAAATATTCACTTCTGAAGCTTCAAATGGTTCTTTCTCAATCGAATTAGCTTGTAACACATGAAATGATGGTTGAATCGAGTCTATCAAATTTTGTAGATGAAAAATGAATGCTGGTTGAATCTTCTTAGCCTTGCACTGTGTAATAGGTCCAGTTGGAATATTTGGAACACCGTGATTCTTGTTAGAAGGTGCACCTTATTGGTATAGGTAGTAGCTTTCAATTCTTTTAAACTTTTCTTAACCATCCTATCTTTAGAATAACTCTCACTCGAATGTGGTCCTAGTTCATTCATGTACTTTTTCTTTACTTGAGTGTCACATGTTTCTATTACATTTGTTTGTGTCTCGTACCTATTGTTTTTCAATGCACACAGTTTTACTATGTAACTTTGTGATATAATGTACAAGCAATTTTATCACAAAATGTTAGTCTCAAGTTCTACAACATCTATTAACACATGCTTCAAAAAAAAAAAAAAAAAAAAAAAAAAAAAAAAAAAAAAAAAAAAAAAAAAAAAAAAAAAA